GATTTTTAAACTTTAAAAGTGGTGGACACACTTTAGTCGTGCCGTAGTTCGGCAAGCAGCCAGAGCAACTCAGCTTACGTTCCCGCTACCGTTTAGAAGCTTGCTCCTCAGCGGCGTCTGAATGGAAATGGAGAGGGGATGGAAATGGTGCTGGGCTCATTCGTTTGGTATTATCTCTGAGTCACTGACAGCCGAAGAAACGCATGGCGAATCTCGAGCATTGGTATAATCTCTCTGTAGCAAATCAGATTGCGGCAGTAGCCACTAAGAACGCCGAAGAAGAAAAAAAAATCAGAAGCAAAGAGCGTAAATATTGTCGGATACCATTTTAAAAACGCCCGTGCGTACGCTTTCCCGCGGAGCGCTCGGAGAGCCAGTCACTGCGATATACGGGAGAGGGGGGGGGGGGGGGGGGGGGGGAGTTTTGGCGAGTGACGAAGTGGGAAAAGACGTTTAGACAATTACATACGTGCTCACGTCATGATCAGTGTCGCATTGCAGACTTATCCTTCGTTTCAGCTTCGGTCCGAGCGCGGCCGATGTTATGAGCCGAAGGGCCAATCAAACACCGCAAAAAGCGCAGCGTCATGGCGTGCTCTCTGCGCTTGATAAGCCTGACCGGCGGAGGAGCACGCACAGAGAGACGGCGAATACCGGCTGGTCCTATCAACTGCAGAGAGCACGCCATGACGTTGTGCCTCTTTCGCTGTTTGATTGGCCCTTCGGCTCATAACATCGGCCGCGCTCGGACCGAAGCTGAAACGAAGTATAGTCATTTTGACAAGCAAGCTCCGTAGTCCCCGGTGTTCGACTCTCCGACTGCTCGGTGAGAAAATAGAGCCTCCTAGTGGACTACCACGTGTCGACATCGCAGGAGAGGTAAAAGTCCTCCACCTTCTTACGCCTCATTCACACTAAGGGGGGGGGGGGGGGGGGGGGGGGGGGGGGTTGAATCGAAATCGTGAAGTGGTTGCGAACGCGATTGCTTGAAGAGTCGGGGCAGTCTCACCCGTATTTGACGGAGGCATGCAGTTTAGAGAAGCCCGATGAGCATCCTTTTAGCGAATTCGGCCGCTGCGAAGCGGCGTGTACGGTTAAATCAGGTGAGTTAACATTTTTGTAATGAGTCGCCACAGACTGCCTCCGCGAAGCGGCGGGGATGCAGCGGGGGGCATGGCTTAACACGCGCTCCAGTGCTATACACGCGAGAAGTAGGAAAGCCTTTTTAAAAAAAACGTCCCATTTTCGATAAACGGCGCTTCTCTAAATTGAGGCTCTGCTTTCTCTAAACCGTGCTTCTATAAAACGTGCCCATTCTCTAAAACGTGCTTCGATGAAATGGCATTCGATCAACCGTAGTAAACCCGTATTTGATGCCGAAAACGTGCGGATCCGCTTCGCGGTTGCGTTTCGAACGCTAGTTCGAATACAGCATAAAAGAGGACTGTGAGTGCGCCTTTCTCCGAACAATAGGAGGATACCAGCGAATACCGAAGCTTTAAATACGGTTAGATCTGGCAACTGCGATGTAAGCAGGGACAAATAGCAAATCTTTTTTTGGGAATAATGGTGTCCTGAATTTTGCCCTTCGCCGGTATCTTTCGACGGCTCCCACTACTTGTCTGTTATCGTGTTCTGTGGAAAAGTAAGCTCGCAGATTCTCTTAGAGTGCACTTTCTCAGGAGTTCTTGAGTCGAGACTGCACCACGATATACTTGGAACACCAATCCTCGGCTTTGCTTTAATCAGTTCGACCAATATAAGAAAGACGTTAGTGTCACGCTTCAATGATCATGCAGTCTCAGTGACACAACGGCGTCCATCCCTTTTGCAACTGGACTGAGAACGCGTCTGCAAATTGGAGTATGATACCGATCGCTTATTTTTTATTGGTTAAACTGATTAAGGGAAGACGAATGATGAGAGTTCCGAGTTCATCGCCAATCAATATACATGCATGGGGGGACTTTCGAGAATGTCTGAAGCCTTTCGTTTTCCTTACATCGCTGTTTTTACTCGGTGACCACCCAGTAAAACTGGCCGGTGGGTCTCCTTGGCCTCGCCTGCCTGGTGTGTTTTTTACGCCCCCGAGAGAGCAAACACATCAAACGCTGTATACACGTCGTATACTTCTGAAAGGGAACAAAAGATAAGAAAAAGAAAGGACTTCAGTGGGGCCTTCAACGTTGGTGGCGAGTTAAAGCTACTTCCACAAAACTGGCTATAAAAATAAATAATACGAATGCACAAAAACAAAATGCTGAAAGGAGCACCGGCGGAGAAACACCAAAGCGGGGGCAGAAAAGTCTCGTAAAAATAATAAATACTAAAAAAAAAAAAAAAAAAAAAAACGGAAGGCAGGACTGATGCTCGAAGTAAACTTCACGTAAAGCAGCAGCAGCAGCAGCGTTCGAGTGCGCGTAGCATGGGAGTGGGGGAGGGAGCCGGAGCGACCGCACCAGCCGAGGCCAATTTCTGGAAAAGCGTAAATCAGTGGGGGCTTCGCAGGAGTCTGTTTACCGGTAGGATTTGTGGCCTCCGCTCTCTCTCTCTCTCGCTACCACCACCACGCTCGCGAATTAGGCGCAAGAAAAGCGGAAACGCAAAGAAGCTGAGGGGAGCGCGTACGCAAGCTGCAGCCAGCCGGGGCGGCGCCGTCGTGGCGTAACTCCCTCGAACTCCCGAACCACCACGACGCGGAAAGACAGAAGAACAGTCCACTTTGTACGTGCGCGACTCGAGCGCCTCACGATGACGTAGACGCGAGGGGGACAGGCCAGTACCACCGGAACCACTTTCTTTCGAGCGCTATTTAGAAAAATGCTGCGGAGAAGCGCACGCGCTGATGAGACGTGGCCGCCATGCCGTCTGAATGGCGAGTTTTCGGATGCATATTTTACAGCCAGAACTGCCAGCAGCAGCCAGTGAGTCAAAGGGATTTATTGGTGTGATGAACAAGCACATACTCTGCGTTGTTCATTTCATCGGGTAACATCCATACGGATGATCCATGACCCATATATGACACCCCTTGAAGTTGAAAGTTGGGACCATGCAGCTGTCGATGAACCGGTACGTTTGCAAAAGACCCATGAGACAAAGAGCCTCACTGAAACAAGGAAAAACAAAATGTCTGCGAGTTTTTTTTCTTTTTTTGATCGTTCTATTGTTGGCATTATTGAACTGTCTATACGTGTTAAACAATTTAAATTCACCCCATTAGAGTAATTCAATACTCTGAAGAATTTAGGTACGATGTCTCAGAGTTGTGAGCTACCACACATCCTCCGAAGGTCTTTCCGCGCAGCGTACCAGACAAAGTTGCCAGCACGCACAAGGCGATTACTGGAAAGGTCTATACCGGCGCATTCATCGCATTGGCGGTTGAACCGCATTCGCAAAGCGGCTGCGGACGTGGCTGCCATACAAAAGACAATCTGCAAAACATTATCTACGGCACGTTTCTTCTTCGTACAAGGGTCACATTAGTCATACACAAACTGTCCGCAGACCTGTTCGAGGTACGCATGAAGCAAACGTCCTTCAAAAATACTTGGAGCGCCTCCGCAGATAAGTCTGGCGTCAAGTGAGCACCGAACACCGCGTCCTTTGTACAATGCAAGAGCACTGCGATTGCAGCATTAACGATCGAATACAAATCCACACGAATTCGATGACGAAAACGTGAAAATCCGCTCGCGGTTGCGATTCGAACACTAGTGTGAATGCAGCTTGCGGCCTGCTGCCGTTCGCGGCTGCCACGAGGGCCCGCTTTTCTCTCCCCCGGCGCGCGAAGAAAAGAACCCCGAGTACACAGAACCTCTCGCCCACGTCCGGCGGGGGCACGAGGTCTCTCCGGCCCCCTGCGAGCCCTTTCGAGCTGTCAGTCAGTCGTCATCGCCGCTCGAGATGCGGAACGCGAAGGGGGCGATGACGCTTTCTCGCGGCGCCTGTGTTGGCGGCGGGTGCCCGCGCCGCCACTCGACTCGGAAGACGCGCCTTCTCGGGCCGGCGAAGGCGAGGTCGGCCGCGTGGAGAATCCGCTGAGCAAACTCGCGGCCGGTTCCAGTGTGCCGGGCGCTGTCCCCGCGCGAATTCGATCTCCGACGAACGAATTAACGCCTCCTGCGACCGCCGACCGTGTCCCGTCGCCGCCGTGCGGGGATTAAAAGACGAGAGCGGGCGCGGCGCCTTGTGCTTGGTGCACGCGCGCCGGGCAGCCAGCGCCTTTTGTGTCGAAGAGCGCCGCGTCGGCTGTGGGCAGCCACGCGCTCGCGCGTGCGTGTCTATCCGAGTTTGTGTGTGGATTAATAAGATGGGGGAGGAATTGTGTGGGGATTAAGAAAAGGTGAGGAGAGAAGGGGGGTGAGGGACAAAGACCAAGAAGTGGACGGCCTGTCACTGACAATCCACTGTGTCGACGCGGTTGGTTTGGTGTGGAAAGCCCGATGACCGCGGGGTTCATTAAACCTGCGTTTACTCAGAACGATAGACGGTGAGTTCAGAGAGAAAAGAAAGTGTTACGGATTCAGTCGAAAAGAACACAGACAACCGTGTAGACGTATTGTTCTAACTGTTGAGCGCCTTTTGAACAACGTCGCGTTGCGCTTTATCGCGTTTACTCGCTTTCGAAAACACCACATTCGCTGAGCTCCTCTATAAATGGCGTAATAATTGTCTACCCAAATCCTCTGCAAGAAAAAAAAAAAAAACTTGCTTTTTTTGTGTGTGTGTGTTCCGCACATATCAGGTATTTATACAAACGAAGGCATGTATACGCTTCTTGCTTCGTGATTGGTTCTCCGGTATTTCTATCGACAAATGGCGCAATCTCATTGGCTGCTGAGCAATAACTAGATGCGCGGGGCTCGCCAAGCCCTTCGTTGCTTAAGCTGTCAGCGACTCTTGTCATTGTTTACACTGAAGCCCCAACACAATAAAAGAAACAGACATCACAACAACTTAAGTTCCAATATTTGTTGGATGCTACTCAGTACCCTATGGTGGAAAGTGGTAAGCACCTAGACTCGTTTTCACCTCAAAAACCATAGCAAAAAAAAAATAAAAAAAATAAAAAGTGCGGCTTTTCGCGGTTCATTACTAATTTTCCTCTCTGTGTGAAGTATTAAGATATATGTAGGTGGCACTTTAGATTATTTATATACATATATATATATATATTACAGGCTCGTAGCCAGGATTTCGCTTCAGAGGGGGGGGGGGGGGAGGAGGGGGCCGTCCATGACAAAATGCTGTATAAGGCGGAGGGGGGAGAGGAGGTCCCAGCAAAATGGAACATTTCGGGGGGGGGGGGGGGGGGGGCGGACCCGATGAGCCCCCCTGGCTACGTGCCTGATATATTATCTTATCAAGACGTACACGTTTCAAACGCCAAAAGAATCGCTTCTTCCTTCGACAACCAAATCTTCTAAGAACTACTTCGCGCGGCGTACGAACAATGAGCAAAACTTGCTGTCTTCTTGAGGCGACAACAAATATAGGAAATCGAAGTGCCGCTATTTGAGGAGCGTGTTACCCCTGAATTTTCAACCGACTGGGATGAGCAGTGTGGCAATGGGGATTCAGCTCCACCGAAAATATATCTGGCGCACCCGAGATCGCCACCGGGTTACATTAGCTAGGTTTTGATTTCAGAAACGAGGAGACGTCGAACGAGGAGACGTAAAACGGCCCTTACCTCGAAATCGCCTCACTGAGAAACGCGCTTTCCTCGCTCCTTCCCCCTTCGATTTCATAAGGGAGCTTCGCGCAGCGAAGGCGTGTACTGCGTTGAAGCCAAATCAGCCTGTGCACGGGGATTCTTTCGGCAATCTCCCTACAACTTCAAGGAATGCAAGAGCTTCCCCGGTGGTGCTCGTGCTCGTGCAGTGCGAGTGCACGAGAAAGAAAGTATCTCGAACTCCTGGCTTGCGCCCAGGTCAGAAAAACTTACAGCGGAGGACTTAAACGATGTTCGGCCACACTTGAGACCGTCGCTTTCGAGAACGCTTCTGCAAGGTGCCTCCCACCCACGGTGTAAGGTATATCTTATAAGATGTGGTTGTCGTGTCGGGCCAGATCTTGTAAGATATGGCCCCACCCGACTACCTGATAGGGAAGGGCCACGGTGTAAGATATAGCTTACACCATGGCCCCACCCTATCAGGATTATGTTTTTTTTTTTTTTTTTCACGCAACTTGGATTTTGTTTTGAACATGAGTTGTGAACATCGTGCACGAATATGGCGTACGGCGACTACCATCTATATGCAACACTATACCCGCTGTTTCATCATGTGTTCGAGCGCAGCCTATGCTACGAGACAGTGAGGCCAATAGACCCTTTCCGAAATTCAGTGCCATCTGGTGGTTCGTAAAGCAGTTCAGCTTTTGCCATATCAATGGCGGAAATGAACTTGTATCGGCACTATCACTTTTGCAAGTCAACGGCTCGCGAGGAATTCTTCAGTGTGAGTTCTTTCTCGATCACTTTCAGTTCGATGGTGACCAAGAGCCTGCATTCAGAACAAAGCTCCAACCCACTCAGATGCCTCGGGAAAATTCTATACACCAAAATGCTTTAAAGCCAATTATGTGCCTCCCGCAAATTGACTGAATCTGAGTTATTAGAAATAAACGCTTACGTAGCTCTTGTGTTTCATTCCTACGTCGCGTCGTACTGACCATCCGAATGTACAGGCCTCGCATCATCCGCTTAGAAGCATCTTCAACTTCTTCCTTTATGAGTCGCTAGAAGGCCGCCATTGGTATGGCACAGATGCCTTCCCACAGATGATGATAGCGATCACAGTGGCCAGACTGAATTTCGGAAAGGGTCTATTGAACAGCACCAAGTGCGCAACGTCAACGCGTATGCAATCCTTTTGCGCGTACGCTACCACCGGCTATATCAATCACACAGTTACGACATCGCGCTTTTTATCTTGGCGTTCGTGTTCGAACCGAATAGTGCTGCGTCATTTATAGCCTACACAGTGCAAGAGAGACTCACAACACTGCAAAGACTGTCTTTGCAGTGTTGAAGCAAATGGTGGCGCAGCGCTATTATTCGAACTACTATTCGCACACCACTAGTTTTTGTGTCTTCCAGATTAAGTGTGTGCGAATACCGCACTGAAGCGAACAGCGCAATCTCTCGCTTCACCACCGTAAACCGAGCCGGTACGTTGCGGATCTCGCTAACACCGTGAAGGCTATAAATAACGAAGCGCTTTTTGATTCGCACCTTTATTCGCACACTCATATACTTCCAGTCTTCGACTGCGCTCTAAGCTCCTAGGCGAAACATTAATGAGAATCATAGGGCTGTGCAAATACTGGTTGAAATTGAATAGCACTGCATTAATTTAACATCCACAATGTTTACGACAATCAGTTTCTGTGAAATGTGAACGAGGCGCCACCTAACTGTGAGGGTCCTTCCTTCTCGCAGACGTAGCGCACTCGACGGCCAACAGCAGCCACGTCGTCCAGCCGCCCCAGCAGGCCCTCCCGGCCGATTTGAGCGTGTCGTCCAAGCCCCGCGCCGCCTCCGCGCCCTCGGGACCCCACGGGGGCTTCTTCCGCAAGGCACCAGCGTCGGCGGCTGCCGTGGCCGCCATGGCACCGGCCATCGGCCCGGGCGCCTTCTGCGGGCCCTTCCCGCTGGCAGCGCCGCTGCCCCTGCTGCCGGGCTTCGCCATGGCGCCCTTCGCCCCGTACCCGCTCCTCTTCCTCGCGGGGGCCGCCCACAAGGACGCCGGAGCCCCGCAGCTGTCCCCCGCGGGCCCCACCGTCAGGGGTTCGCCGTCCTCAACCAGCGTGGTACGTTCCAAACCGACACCGCCTAGAAGACAAGGCCGGCGCATCTCCCCTCCGAACGTCATCACTATAGAGGTGCCGCCAGGGTGCCTCGCGGGGTCTCGCAACGAGTGATATGACTAGAAATATGCCAACGTGTTTCTTCGGTTTACCTGTCAGCTTTTAAAAGAAGCTTTTATGCGAGCATGTGTTGTTGGAACGCAAAGCTTAGGCCTTAATCTTCCTATTATTTCACAATTTGAGAGATAGCAGGGCTTGCGGGAACTGCAGGCGTCCAGTCCAGACTGAGCGTTTCAGCTGCAGGGGTGTACCCCAGCAGACGATATCAGCTGTAACAACCAATCCGGTGATTTTCGCGTCTGCAATCGTCACAGCTTTCTATTGTCTCTCGATTTGTTTATATAGCAGTTCAAGGAATGGGACCTAAACTTTACGTTCCATCAAACAGCATTTTTTTTAATATAAACTGGCAGGTACGGTAAAAAGGAATGATGGATTGTCGCAGCTCATATTGTCTGGCATAGTACACTCTAGTATGTTTGCTTACCCGCAGCACACGCAGTTATAGTCACTGACAACCGAAAAAATGGAGGTCAGGGCGAGTTCCGGCATCTTATCATTGCTCTACTGCCAATGATTATGCGTAGCCGATAAGAACACAGAATGAATCACGAAGTAAGAAACGTGAGTGCAATAAGCCAGGTTCCGCGTCTCTTAAATTTTCAGCTAACATAGCCATTGACAGCGAGCAGCAATGCGATTTCGCAAGGACGATAAGCGTGTGAAACGCCCTGCTCATTGATCGATTCGTATTCCGAGCTTCGTCACTTACTAGGATTGGTCCGTTATTTGAGGCGATTTTCCGCCTGCGTGGTCTGCACGAAAGCGAAAGCAGGGATCAATTATTAGGGCGTAGACTGCCCCCAAGGCGATGCACGTTGCAACACCAACCACTGGTCTTCCTTTTATCGGCTTAGCGCAGCGGTTCTCAACCATCGCTGTTTCGCGGACCCCTTGTGGATCGGCGGAGATGGTGGAGGACCCTGTTTGTGGTGGTGGTGGGGGGGGGGGGGGGGAGGGGGAGTTATAGGTTAAGTATAATAATGATGTATTAACTAGATATAACTAAGAACTAGTGTGAAGTAGACCCCTGTTATTGACATATACACGAGAAAACTCTCCCGAATACTGAAATATTTCTTCTCGACCTGAAAAAAGAGAACTTTTATTGCCGGGCTTGATTGATGAGGTAGGGCTTGCGGACCCCCATTTGAGAACCACTGGCTTAGCGAATGGGAAGGGACGAGGGAGACAGTGCCCCATAACCACATTGGAAACATGGTGTTCACTTCTTTTACCGCTGAGACCACGCACTGCCATTCGAGCTTGTATATTGACCGCTTTTCTCACTGGTTGAATGACTAGAAGAATGTTATTGGTATTCGGATGCATCCCGGGGTTCGCTAATCCCTCATTACACTCGGGTGTCTGACGCTTCCTTTGCGTAGGGTCCTCTTTAAATGAATGCCCCTCCTTTTCCTTCCCCGCAAAGCACCCAGAGAGGGTGTATCACTGTGATCTATGGAAAACGTTTCGACCTAAGACTACAGTCTCCGATATAACCCTCAACATGGCATGGGCATGTGAAACGTCGTTCTCCTTGCCACGTTGCACTTTGCCCCCTTAGTGAGAACGTTTTCTAGCCTTGTCGTTCATTGAGCTATTTTCGTCTGAATCCTGGCGCTTTAAATGGTTTGGCTTTTGGGGCGTAGAACTGCTTCGGCAGAGGCCGTTAGTGGCAGTTCCTTATTACAACGATTTACCGTTCAATAAGAACTATCAACGCCATGAGCAATCCGAGCGTTAAATTTGTCGCGGATTCCACGAACTCGCTTATGCGTTACTTATTTTGTAGTAATGTACACTGTGTTATGACATAACTTCGTATTTTTAAACGCTCTCTTTCTTCAACCCTTTGAGCTTTTACACATTTAAATAAAACATTACGAGAACCGCTCTTATGATTCGGGTTATTCTTCTCAGCACGAGGGAAGTTTCTTTTGTAATACAATCATTTTTTTCCTCAATTATTCAAAAACAAATGTTCTCTTTCACTTGAAGGAAATTCACAAAGACGAAAACATCTCGGCGACGTGTTTCTACATTTGCACGAAACTCCAACGCAAAAATGACGATCCGTATTGGCTTTCTTTCCCTCAAAAGTCCACCATGTTCTCTAGCCCCAAATGTAACTCCACGGAATTCCCTTCAACGCATCTGTCCTATTCGCGCGTGCGTGTGTGCATGTGCGTGCTTGTGCGTGAGTGCGTATACAATCTTCCTTACACAGCGGACGCCGAGCATGAACGCAAGGCCAAGGGGCAAGTTCGACTTCTCGCGGCTCGCCGAGTCCGCCACGTCACGAGACAACGACGCGGACGCGCGGGACTTCTCGCCCTGCGAGCCTCCGGACCGGGCGCCGAGGCTGAGCCCCCAGCAGCCCCCGGCCGTGCACCAGCCGCCGCAGCACCACCCGTCGGCCACCACGCAGCGGGGTCCTCACCCGCCGGGCCTCGTGGGCAGCGCGGCCGGCCGCCACGGGCCCGCATTCCCGCTGCTGCCTTCGTACTACGCGCTCCACCACGGCTCCGTCGGCGCCCTGGGAAGCGAACTGTTCGAGCGCAAGCCCGTCCGGGGACGCGGAGGCTCGTCGCGGCCCAAGAAGGAGTTCATCTGCAAGTTCTGCCAGCGGCGCTTCACCAAGTCGTACAACCTGCTCATCCACGAGCGGACCCACACCGACGAGCGGCCCTACACGTGCGACATCTGCCACAAAGCCTTCCGCCGACAGGACCACCTCAGGGACCATAGGTGAGCACTTTTTTGTTAACTCGATGTTGCGGCCGCGTTCTTTTATTTTTATGGTATTAGTGCGGCGATAACTATCGTCCGAAAAAGCGCTTATAAACGTGGGACACGTCCTGTAGCCTTCAGTCTAAGAAGCCAAAAAAAAAAACATCTACAGACCAGATAGACTTCACAGTGCACGCTAATTCACATTGCTGAAGAATTGCGAAGGATTCGATTAGTGGCCAGGTGCGGCTGTCGTTGTCGATTCGACGATACGTAGACTATCATTCTTCCTGACCAAGTGTAGGCTTAAACAGTTTCTAAACTCTTATCAGTTTCTGAGTGCATGCCGCACCGTGATGAACATCAATCATTTTCCTAACTTTAATCGCCTCGAAAAATGAGAATGGGATTGGTGTAACGAACCCTGCGGTCTCAGCGGCAAAAGAGTGTCCACCCTTCTTGTTAGTGATGCTATTGGAGCTACTGCCGATCGCCGTTCTCAGTGTATGAACTGAAAAACAAGGTCAATATTTGTCCTTCTAAGTGCATCGCGGGGCAGTATACATGCAGGAGCTTCTCAGAGTACACTCTAATGAATGTAAAGCGTCTAGTTTCTTGTAAACCACTTGGGAGAGCTAATCGCTGCAATTAGAGAGCTGAGCAAATGATGAGGCTATATACAGCCCCGCCATTCGCAGAGTTTCCTTCGTAATAGGTAGCAGCGATTGGCTTCCCCAATTACTTTACGAGAAGCTAAACGCTCCAGATTTATTGGAGAGTATTCTTCAGAAGCCAAACGTATATTTTCTATAGGTCCACGTGAATCGCCAACTCACTCCGTTTTCCTCCTTTTTCCCCCGCCCTCCTTGTAGGTACATCCACTCGAAAGAGAAGCCGTTCAAGTGCGGCGAGTGCGGCAAGGGCTTCTGCCAGTCACGGACCCTGGCCGTGCACCGCATCCTGCACCTGGACGACTCGCCGCATAAGTGCCCCACGTGCGGCCGCAGCTTCAACCAGCGCTCCAACCTGAAGACGCACCTGCTCACGCACACCGACATCAAGCCGTACCACTGCCCGGCCTGCGGCAAGGTCTTCCGGAGGAACTGCGACCTCCGGAGGCACGCACTCACGCACACCCTGGGCATTCCGGAAGACCCGGACCTCGAGAACTCTTGTAACGCGCCGGGAACGTCGTCGGGGTCCATCGACCTCATGGAAGACGACGACGACGACGACAGCGATCTCCAGCAACCCGACATTCTAGACGTCGAGAACTGAGCATTGTCCGACGCCTGTCCTTCTGGACGGCGTTCGAGTATACCACCGGAATTTCCACGACGGCTGAAGTTGGGGGACTGCGCGTGTGTGTGTGTGTCTTTGGATGCTTGTGAATCTGTGGACAACTCAAAAACCTTGCGGGAGGTTCAGTTTTGCAGCTCATCGGCGATGAAATCTCAGGACACACGGACACTTGTGGAGACAAAGGGCGTGCTTATAATTATACTCGTGGTCTGATGCTCATGCGTCTGTTGCGTGGGTAGGCAGGTTGGCCCACGCAGCATGCTCTACAGACTTTTTTTTTCTTCAAATGGTGGATGAGTGTGGTGGGAATTAGTAGGGAAGCCGAGTCAACACAACCTAGATAAAGCAAGGTCAGTGCACTCGTTCTCACCCCTCCCCAAGACGTCAGCGCATCTTGCACCACGTAATAACAACGCAGTCGCGCTGATCGGACAAAAGCGTCGAGCGAAGGAAGAAGCGTCACTTGACTGCAATCGGTTCCTTTTCGTCGGTTAAAGGGCTGTCCAAACGGGACACAGTTTCTGTATTTCATAGCTTTCGCTGCACCGGGAGTTGAGGCTTCCCTCAGTTCCGGTTCGCTTAAAAACGGTATTTATTTTTAATAATTTTTTTTTTTTTTTTTTTTGCTGGGGGAAAGTTATCTTTTACTTTCGTCCTCGGACAGAGGCTTGGAACGTGCTCAGTACGTGATTCTAGACTCACAGGCTCTGCTAGCAGTCGTCAAGGTTTCTGCTCATCTCAGTCCCCAACCTCCCGAAAACGAGAGAGGGAACGAGATGACAGCGAGGAGGCAAGGAGGAAAGTCGTTGTGTTTGCGTTGTTGGTTTCCTCACTGAAAACGTACGCGCGCGCCTGCAATGCTCACATCTCCTTAGAAACGCGGACGCTTTTTTTTTCTTTGCTGTGTCCTGTGCAGACAGTCCTTAAAATGAGGTGGTGTATTGCTGCGGATAAGATGGAGTGCACGATCCTTGCGTTATCTAAGTGCTGTTGGCTGAGTATGAGGTGACGGGGACCTTTTTTTTTTATTTTCTCCCAATATCTGCACACGGTTCCATTTTGTCAGCGTATTGCGAGAAATATTTCTGTCCAAGTAGAGGCGCCGTCTCTGGTGGCAACTGCAAGTGAACAAACTGAGACAAACTGTATTTATTCGGACCAAAAAAAAAAACATTCCAAAACAAATCTAAAAAAAGAACACGTCAGAGTTCGCATTTTGTAGTTACTCAAAATCCAAAAAACAGCTGAACACAGCATATTTAAAGCCTTTTGCTTGGTTTTGTGACGGGAACCGTAAAATCAATGACCCTAGTCTGTTGTTGCTATTCGCCTTTCTTTAAAGAGCAACTCTGGTCGAAAACAAAACCAAAATAAATTACTGGAATCGCTTTAGTGCACGATATATGATCACAGCCGTAATATTACGTCAAAGTGAAGCCGCATACTCCACTGAAACAGATTTTAAAGATGCGATCAACAGCTTTTTAGCAGGTGGCACGCGGGTGAGTTTTTAGGCGGGCATCACTGGGCGGCACGTACCGCACCAGCACCGTGACGTCACGTCGCGGCCATACGGTTGATATCAGTGTTGCCATTCCTCTCTAGCAGATAGTTTCGGTTTTGCCGTAGACGCCCGAAACCAAACTTTGAGTTGTGAGATTTATTAAACTACACAAAATATCGAGAGAGAACAATGATACCTTGCAATTCGGGGACCCTGACTGGCCTGAAAACAGTCGTAATCCCAAATTCGCAAATACTGACCGGATTTGCCCTTTAAAAAAGTAGCTTGTCGATAACGGCATTGCCTCCGTTACGCATGCGCGTTGGGAATCGGACCTTACGATATATTTTGCCAGTTATAGCAACTGGAAAACGTCAATATAACAATTGGAAAGCATACATTAAGTATGCTTTCCAATTGTGCCAAATCATCTCAATTTGTTACAAAAAAGGCTGTCATGCTTTTTTTTCGAAAATTCGGTTAGCGTGGCTGAGTTTTACGCGTAACCATTGGTCAATATGTTCGCAATTAAGTAAACAAGAAAGGGTTTCTGCTCGCGTGTATTTGAAGGAATGGGACCTACAGTCCGTCGCCAGGCCGCACAATGCTGCTAGTCATTTCGGTGACTATACTGATCGGCTCCGCATCATCGGCTTTTCGCATCTCACCGAAGAAAGTGAATTAGCACGGCCCAAAGATCACGTTGTTCCCTGTCACTGTCGAACAAATGCTCTTCTTTCTGCAAACCAAAGAGTGCAACGCCGATGTTCCGCCAACAAAAGAGAACTGAACACAACACAGCATTGTCTGCTGGAAAGCGATAGATCACTAGTGAAATCAAGCACGACTTATGGAGTTTACTTGTGAGTGTCACGATGAGACCCGACAACAAAGATTCTTTTGGACAGCACAGCATCATTTACAAGTAACGACGACAAGCATTCATGGCGAACAACTTTGGAAGAAGAGAATGACGTCCTCCACTTTCCGCCGCCACGACGACATGTTCTTCCTTAATACTGCACCGTCACACCAGTTGGCACTGCGACGATTGTCGCTAATTATAAGAATCGCAGAGTATACCTTTCATCTAGGAAAGCTTCAAACCCAGCTTTGCTTCCAATTGTAAGCTTTTCTTAATTTATCTAGGAGATGAGATGGGAGCTGCTGGTGGTTTTTGAGCGATGAAGTGGTCACTGTTATTCTTTGCCCCTATCAACCTTGTCGTCGTTGTTGTTTCTCTACAAGCGTCATGAAAGACGACTTGTTTGAAGCTGCGTTTTCTTTTTTGTGATGGAAAGACAGTTGTTTGGGAACGAGACGTAGATTAAAAACAAAACGAGCGAAACAGAAACGGTTTACTGCCGCGGCTTCGAGAAACGAAACGTCAGAATGCCCAGTTGGTGGTCGTACCGGATAGAGTCTGGCGTTTCTCGCAGACAATATAAAAGAAAAGAAAAAAAAAAAAGCCTCCCTAAAGCTAGTCACTTTCTTTTTTTTTTCTGCTATCTGTGCAATTGGATGCCATCTCCTGTGGCAACAGCGTCGATGACGTTGCACGCTGGCGTAGCAACATGCGTTGTTTTTTGCTCTCGTCTTATTTCTTCCTTTTACTGTTGTATTTTTTTCGCGGTCGCTTCGACAAGCTTGAAGGTGTTGTTGGTGTCCATGTGTATGTATATATGCGCGAATGTTGAATGTACACATCACTTTAACTTATGAAGCTAAATGTTGCGCATTAAAGCGAGAACGTTACGAATGGATCCGAGGTTGTCCGGAGTGAATCATTTCGCTAATGCACAATAAGAAAAAAATATCTTTCAGGGCGCTACAAGATTGTTTTGTACAGTTAACTTAGATGAGTGCGGAAGAGTATAAGCGTCACACATTGTATCGTTTATGCATGGAGAATTAAAGGGAACACTTGATATACTTATATTTAATAAATAAAAATAAAAATAGGTATGGAGAAATAGGTATACAAAGAAAATCCGGATGTTAAAATAAAGGTCAATTCTAGTTGACCATGCGTTGTAAGCTAAAAATGAAGAGAAAAAAAGTCTAACCGAAGAAAAATAAAGATCACGTTCATCTTCACTGATATAAGAAACTCTCAATAAGGATGAAGCTCACGAACTGGGGTTATTTTAAAAGACATATGACATTTTTTCGTAAAATCTAAAGTTCCTAAAAGCTGTACACCCGTGACGGATATGAAGGTGAACAGCCCTCTTCTTGTTTTTGACGCTCCTGCAAGATTCGGAACAAACTCTGTTCCAGAAGAGGGTTAGAACGCAAAGTTTAGACCCTTGGCCATGTACCATTGAGACGTTCAGAGCTTCATCCTTATAGCTTTAGGGAGCCGTAAAACACGCAAGAAACCAGGTAAGGTGTTCACCTTCGTATTGCCGGCGGGTGTAAATTATACTCCGCTTCACCTGATCTTGTACCGCAGCGAAGGAAGGAAGCTCCAGCTGGAGGCGGGACAACTGCAACTCCCCTCTGCCGTTCTCACCCCGTCAGTGACTATAATGGGATGAGGACGACAGGGAGGAGTTTCAGTTATGCCGCCTCCAGCGCGGGTTCCTTCGATAACACTTCGGCGTCACGTGACTACCTCCCTCCAATCAGAGCGAACGCCGGCGTCAGGAGTTCGAGCGACAGACCAGGGACGGAGAATGAGCAGACAACAGTGGCGTACCAACTTGTTTTTGACAGGGCGGGGGGGAAACCAGACCCCCCCCCCCCCCAGGGTAGGGGGGGGGGGGGGCATGCCCTTGGTATCCCTTGGGCGCCGCCGGCCAGTGTTTGCCCTGCCCAGTGGCGGCTGTTTCGGGGGGGGGGGGGGGGGAGCGCCCCCCTTGCCCCCCCCCCCCTCCCCCCGGTTGGTACGCCCATGGCAGACGACGCTGTCGTTTGCACTAGTATAGGAGAAGACAGTGGCAGAGGCGCTTTTATGTCGATTTCCTGATCCCTCCAATCAGAGATTGGCCCTCTGACGCGACGGCACGATCATAATGCTGGATAGGCTGCTGGATAGAAGCACTAAATAAGCTAGGCCTCAGAGTAACGACAGTTCAGCCGTCTTGGTGCTTAAAATCACGGTTACCAGTGATCTCAGTGAAACCTTACGATCTGAATTCGGGGGAAACGTTTTCCCATCCTCCAGAAATGTTAGAACAGTTCGCGACAGAATAAAACGATGTCACTCGAGCTTCCTACCATCGTGTCTAAAGCCGAGGAAGTCGTATTTTTGAATTGTGCCGATCAACAGTTGCATTTGCTTTGTTCAAGCACCAAGATGGCGGCGCCCACTTGAAGATCGGGGAACGGAGTGCCGATACTCTTAGCGTAGCTCATTTAGTGGCTCTATAAGATGGGATGGTTTGTGCCCGTCCCAACGTCCAAATGAACTCTGTTAGCGACACGCCGGCTGCGTTCCGGGAATTCCAGGAGGTTCATCTCTAAATCGGTTAACCCATCACGTTGGGGTTTGAAGTAGCCAAACGTTAGAGAGAATTACCGCCAGCAAAGAAAGCCACATTGTGATCGCACGTCCGCTGCTTTCTAACGACTGTGGAGGTAATAGGTCTTTTCTTTTGAGTACAAAAGAACAGGTGGGTCGGTAACTATGCAAAAAACCCTATCATAAAAGACCTTTGCTAGAACTTTCAGCGCACGGCAAAGAGGAGGAAGAGCGAGAGTGAGTGGAAATAAGAGAAAGCGAGAAAGAGTTAAAAATATACATTATTTAAACAGAGCCTTAATTTAGCCCAAACTTGAGGCTTTAACAGTCTACCCCGTCTTTAAGGCGAAACGAAAAAGAGAGCTGACTTTAGGTAAAGGTCAAGAATTATTACAGAAACTCGTCACATGACTAATTACGATGATTATAAGCTTAATAAGACAAAAATAACAACTAGAA